CTCTCTCTCTCTCTCTCTCTCTCTCTCTCTCTCTCTCTCTCTCACTCACTCTCTCTCTGCTATCCGCCTGATGAAGAATTGAAAAGTTCCCATTGTCTAAGTAAAGTTCACAGCAGGACTCCAATTGAACAAATGAGACCTTATGAATCTGGTACCACGTGTCTATGATGTCTATTATCCTGAGGCTATTGAGACACATTGTGAGAAGAAGATAGTCACAAATCAGAACAATGAAGACATTCTCAACCGTTCAGCTGCTGGATTTTTTTTTTTTTTAATTATTTGAAATGGTTGCTTGTCCTGATTTTCTTTTTATTATTAGTTAACAATTCATAGAAATGGGTTGTTATCTCTCTTGTCCTTTCCCCTCTTTCTGGGATTTTTCTTTGCTTGTGAGCGACTCTGGGTGTTCTCAGGCATCTTTAGCGAACTTACCAAACAGTTTTCTCTCATCAGGTGCATCCCATGCATTTGGTTTTTGGAAATACAACCCAGAATGCTGTTAAAAAAAAACAACAACATCAAAAGTGAAGGTGATTATTCTCTGTGTTTTTGTAGAACCAACTTGCATGGAAAGGCTCCTCTCAAAGGATTGGAAGGAGCGCGTTGACCGCCTGAAGGCAGACGAACTGCTGGGGGAGGTCAAAGGTAAGAGCATCCACGTCAAGGCCAGCATTCCAAATGTGCAGCTACAACTAAATCGACATCCACTTTCACACGCGCAAACAATGAGATGTCAAGGTTTACTAGATGCAGACAAACTGTCTGCTTCACTTTGGCCTTCTGGCAACAGGTAGCACATGAACACATGCTGTGTGTTGGCTGTTTGAGGGAAGAGTAGGTGTGTAAGAAAAAGAAAGACAGAAGGAAAACTTACTTTTGCTTTTCATGTTTTTGCCAAAAGTCTTACATTTCTGAAACCTGCAGATGCTAAAGCATCTGAGGCATCTTGTTAAAAGACAGGCGAACGGTTTACACTTGTGTAGAAATAAAGGTTCCAAAAGGGTTCTTCCTGAAGGGCTGAGGACCAAGAACCATTTGCTTCTGAAGAACCCTTTTTTTAAAAGTAAGGGTCTTTCAAGGGCTCTTTATGAGACTAAGGGTTCCATTAAGAACCATTTTCATCCAAAGAAGAAGTGAGTTCTCGGAGGATCGTTGAAAGCATTGGTGTTAAAAAAGAACAACCCAACCACACATCCTCCCCAAAAACTGTTCTTGTGAACCATGATTGTTGTGGGTTTCACTGCACCACATCAGTCCTGGCCTCTTACGAGTCTTCAACATTTGCTTCCACTCTTCATTTCTGATTGTATATTTTGATTACGAATTGGATCAAGTTGTCCTGTGATGCTCACTGGCTAGTGTAGGTGATAAGAACGAGGAAACAATGTCTGCTTGATATCCCTCTAACCTTACTGCTCCGACTGAAATGTCAGGTTGATGACCGACCAGATTTATAACTTTTTTGAAGTGTCTTCAACGATGTGAGCCCACTATGTGAATGAAAGAAACATAATATATACTGGCAGAAAAGGCGTTATGTTGGAGCATTGATACATTTAAGAAGAGAACTGCTCTCTGTCTCCTGCGCTACAGTGAATTATTTTTGTGTGCCGTAACATTAGTCGCTAACCGCTGGGCAGTCGAGCTCCTCTCAGTGAGAGAAACCGTTTGTGATCGCCTCCCGTTGAAATGGAAAGCATTTCCTCTGTGGAAAGTGGAAAAAAAGGGACGACAGAGAGGCTTCTGCAGCAGAACAGCACCGACTTTGACTTTCACTCTGAGACGGAGATCTGACTCTCTCTCTCTCTCTCTCTCTCTCTCTCTCTCTCTCTCTCTCTCACACACACACACATACATATGCAAGAAAACTACGCATACAGTATATTCTTAAAAACATTTTGCAAAACATCACTTGTCATCTGTTACGTACAGTAAACATCTAACTGATCACTCAGTCTGCGTTACAGAAATTTAGAAAAAGACCAACTGTGAAGTTGAAAAGCCACTTGTTATGACTTCTTTTCATTTAAAAATCAGACCTATAACTTCCACTTGTATAATGTTTTCTCTTTTTTGGGATGATTCAGGTCAAGTGCTAGATCTCGTCATAGACTCTTACAAAAACAACACTCTCTTGTTGGGTTACAATGTCAACTGAAAATGATCGGATAACCTGCTCAAGGCCGTTCTGTATTTGACTTACAGTTTGTTGGCAGTGAGTTTATATCTTTCTGCTGCAGGTTTTTAAAGCTAAACCTCCGTCACTTTGTGGTCTACAGTGTTGATCATCTGATACTTAATGTTTCATGAAAAAAACAAAACTGTTTGTGTTTATTAGTCGCAACTTCTGTTAAATATATCTCAGTCCTCATGGCTTGCATCTTGAATCTTTCATTTGTCCACTTACAGACGTCTTGTGATTTGTTCACTTTCTGAAAATGTTCTCTCTTAAAATCCAGCCCAGCCGTCTGGAAAAAGAGTCGGCATGACTCTTATTCAACAAATATGTTGAATGTCGACGTTTTTGTGACGTAGTGTATCGTTACTGAAAAGTGATGTGACATAATAACGAGTATAACAAGCAAGAAAGTCCACTAAGGTTGGGCAGAGGTGAACAGGTCAAACAAACACAGGACCTTCACCCGTTCGTGTGAAAGTAAGCGTTGAGTGTACACTTGTCACGTAACGATACACGAGAAAGTCAGCTAAGGGCGGTTGTTATTCTTTTACGCTAGTTAAGTTTTTCGGTTGTGACATTATGTTGGTACATTATTATTTGAACGCTACCTATTATGTTTTTTGGTACTGAATGTAGTAGTGAATTGTTCATTGACAGCGTATTTATATATTTTTTTCGCCAAAACATCCAATCTTGCAATTCACATTCACCTGTAGTGACTACAACATTATTAAACGTTGGTAAAGTTATGTTTAGGCACTGGAATTCACTAAACAGGGAACGGACAATATTAATATCTGACATTAAAGACTCATATTATGCTGGTTTGTAAGATCTTTTTTTATTTTTATTGTGGTATATCGTAGCTTCACTGATCTTTTATTAGACGCGTGTAATTCAGTATTTCTGACAGTTAAAAGTTAGTATGACATTACTTTTTCTTTTACTTGCGTGACAGAACCCATGTAACGATGTCAGAGCTTCGATGGAGGCAACTAGAACCAAGACAAACAGCATGCTTGTCCTCTTCATAAAGCTGGAATGTGCAGTATATCAATTTTCTTGTGAGTTAGTTGAAGAGACTAATACCATGCATAAATATAGCATGTACCAGTACATGCATGCACATAGAGGATCACACACAGATTTCTCTGTTCGTCCAGCGGCGTCCTGACCAAAGCAACGCTCTGATTGAATTCAAGCCTCTGAGTCTTTTATTTCTCGATGGCTGACACGAAGCCCAGTCTGGATGACCTAAATTCACAAACACAACTGTTGCTCTGTGTCTCCTCACACAACAACCTGAACCTGTTTGCTCAGTCGCAGTTATTTTTAGGGTAAAGAAGAAAGATGACCTCTTTTTTTCTTTACTCAAGAGTGCACAACATGCTTGTAATGTACAGCAAATATTATATTTTTTATCTGCACTTATCTCAGAAAAGGCTTGTATGTTATTTAACTACAATGTGCCTCACTGTTTCACACATACACATCTGGGAATGTGCCCAGAATGATTTCACTCTTCTACTGCAACCCACTGTGTGCTGAGCTGGAAAAAAAATAATAGTGCATCAGTTTGTGTTTTGCAGATATTGTAAAAAGGATGCTCTTAAAAGAGTTTAGGACTTTTGACTTTTGTTTGTTTAGCACTGGGGCCCGTTGGGTAGGAGGGCCCATAGAGAGAGCGGGTCTGAGACATATAGATGTATATGTGATTAGATGTGTTTACCATAGAGATACGTGTGCAGATGCTTTGATTAATATTCCATCAGCTGTTATCGTCTCACCCCTTGGTGAGACTTTTCCACCAAAGACAAGCGTGCAAAATTTTACCACATTTTTTAATTTCTTGCTTTTAAATCAAATTTTCTTTTCATATGAAGTCAAAAAGCTCATTAGAACAGATGGGTAGTAAGTGTCTGATTATACTGTCAGGTGCAGGAGCTGGCACAGCTGGTAGCAATAAGCACACAGCAATTTAAGAGTCGCTTGCAGGCATCTTAATCATTGCAACTTTTTTATTTTCAACTTTTTTATTTTCAGACTGACTGTCTGGAGAAGTGAGCTGTGTACAGTAAAAGTGAATGTGTGCAGATCAGATGTGATATCTTTATACCCAGCTAGCCCTGGGCAGATCGTGACACTTGTTTTGAGAAAAAAAGGAAGTGGCCGGTTTTGTCTCGGGGACTGTGGGCCGATGGGAAGTCAAGTGTCGGGGAGTTTTTTTTGTGGTGTGACACTGAGGCGAAGGTTTAGTCATCCAGAGGAATGCTGGGAGTTTGGCGCACGGATGAAACGTGATGGTTTGGCAGAAGCCCAAGGAGTCCGAGGCCGTCATGAAGTGTGATAATGTGAGTGTGTGATGGTTCGTATGTGTGCTTGAATATTTGTGTCATGGCATGTGTATGTCATAAGCTGTGTTTGTGGAAGTGGCTGGGACAGGATTTTCCGTATGTCTGAATCCACATCGTTAAACTTAATAGACTAACAGTAAGAAATTATGAATGATTTATTTCATTTTTATCTTATTTCATTTCTTTCTGTAAATTGACTCATAGACTCACATACTGTAGGCATGTAAATACACACTGACACATACACACAAAAGATAAATAAGGTAATGCAATATACAATATCGTTGCTCTAAAAACTATTTTCTATTTTCTTTTTTTACACCTAACTTAAAGATTAAGTATTTTTTCATGGGTCGGTCTCTAGCCAAATGAACCATATAAAAACAATTTTTTTTAGGATGTTAACTTTTTTTAGGGGGGGGTTGCTGACTTGGAAAACAGTAGTGCAAGTAAAACTGCAGACAAATAAATAAAAGTAAATCACGATCAATAAAAACGATTGCCATAAAATACAAATGTGGAGTTTATAACAATACACAACATACAATTATTATACATTATACATGCATGGGTCAATGGGAAGTTTAGGAAAGATCTGGATTAATGACAATGACATCGATTTGCATTTTCTTGGTACACATTCTAATGTGGCAATGCTCTTTTATTACTTAGTGATATTAATATGTTGCAATAAAACAAAAAGCTGCATTTGATTCCCATAAATACAAACATTGTAACCGGTAACAACTAACAAACAGCTCGTGCAGAAATAGGTCTCGGTTCAGAGACGAATCGTCCAAACAGAGTGAGAAAGCAGTTAATGGCTTTCTGTTTTGGCTGCTGCCCTCAGCAGGTGTCGGGAATAATCCTGATGGATGGAAAACGTCTGATGATTATTGGTGCCAGAAGCGTTGAAGGAAAGCAAGACGCCGCGTTTGGAATGCACGACCCGTAATCCACAAGGATGAATCATGGAGCTGTAATCACAGTTGTTGCAATTACACAACAGGCTTCACTTCCCTGCAAGAAATGTGGAGGAATAGGAAGAAGTCTGTGTGTGTGTGTGTGTGTGTGTGTTTTAAGACATGACAGCGTTATGAAGTATCCATCAGTGTTGCAAGACTGAATCGGTCAAAGAGACTTAGGGAGGGGTGAACAAGGGTGTATTAGAGTGGTGATAAGAGCAGAGGGGACAAGAGAGGAGGTGATGAAGAGAGGGAAAGGGGGGACTCGGCAGAGAGGTGATTGAGAGGGCTAATGAGAAAAGAGGAAAGGTGATGAGCGAAGAGAAGGGGACAAGACAAATGAGCAAGTAAAGAGAGAGTATCAAAGTAAGGGTGGAGGAGATGAGAAGAGGAGGAGGAGAGTGAAGAGCAGAGGAGAAGAGAGAAATAGTAGGGGGTGAGGAGGAGAAGAAAAGAAAGGAAAGAAGACGAGAGAAGGAATCACGAGAGTAGAGAAGAGGAGATGGAAAGAGAGAAAGGGAGATGAGAAGAGGAATGAGGAGAGGACAGGAGAGGAGAGAAAAGCAAAGAAGGAGCGGGGAAGAAAGGAAGAGAGGAGAGGAGAGGAGAGGAGACAGGGAGAATGTGGACTTGGAAGTAGAGTAACTGATGGGGAGGTCATTTGGGGAAAAAAACCCAAAAGGGAAGAATGAAAGCATGAAAAAAGAGGGACAAGAAGAGGAGAATGTTGCCTTTGATACAGGGCTGCTGAGGGGTAATTTCTATGTGTGTGTGTGTGTGTGTGTGTGCGTGTGTGTGCGTGCGTGTGTGTGTGTGGGGCCAGTCTGGGGTACAATAGGGGCCTGACAGGACTACAATGGAGACTCTGTTAGTATGCAGGTAGTGTTGGGGCCACCCTGCAATCTCCCTACATGGCCCCAGGGCGAGACCTTACACACACACACACACACACACACACACACACACACACACACACACAAGAGCAAGAACTTCTAAACAAGATAAACTTCAATGAGGATGTACACAAGCACATATACACACTCCCACAAACCAGATGAACGTGTGTGTATGTGTGTGTGAGAGAGTTTGTAACTATTCCCACAATAAGGAAAACACACACTGACACAGAAAACCAAGAACATGTCACCATGTTGGACATGAGTGGTCTGCTTTCACTAAAGAGAGGAAGAAGAAGAAGGGTCAGGCAGGTTTGTGCTGCCTATGCTGTAGCTGATATAAATTACCTCAAGGGTTTAAGGGATGTTGCTGGACAAATTAAATTGAACTTATACATTCAAGTCTGAGGTAAGATAAAAGGAGTCTTTCTATGTGCAGACATTTTTTTGTACAACAATCCTAAATCCCATTGGCTTATTGTAGAGCGAACCAGTGTGATGCTAACCTGTAACATGTAAAAACAAAGTGGGAGAAAACAGGGGGAGAATGTTTATTGAAGACACAGGTAATGTGGTGGGACTTTGATGTGAGATGATGCTGGTGTGATAACAGTAATAATTGTATATTGTTACTGTCTGTTGTCTGACACAGTGCATTCACTAAGTCCTTCTAGTGTTGGCACTCCTTCATGACTAAAACCTTCCAAGAATGTGCACATCATAAACCTGACACAGAGCCTGTGACAGCTACTTGTTTTCAAAGGTTCACTCAAAGTGATTTTTATTGTTCTTGTGTGCAGACACTAAGTGATAAACACTGATGGCATGCAGAGACAAGACAGCAGATAATAAGTAGTAATATGAAACTACAAGCCCCATGATTTATGAGAATTTGGGGGATGTGAGTTTCTAAAGTTTGTCTTGTTGATGTTAGTCAAACACATTGGATTTGTTTTGGGTCGCTTTTGGTTCGTGAAGACTTCCGTTGAAGATGCTTTAGTTTGTTTACTTCAAGCCAAAAAAGGAAAAGTTGTTTGATTCCTTTCTCTTTTCTGGTTGAACGTCAACAACACCAAATGTCTTAATGTTGTTTTTACAATAATATCACCAGAAGTGATTTTGAGATTACTTTAAAAAGATGTGTCAGTCTGTATCATGTTTCTCTTTCTTTGTTCAGCAGACCTCTCCTGTCTTTTATGTTTTTTGAACTTAAAACCCATCCTACTCCGTCTACCTGTTCAGGTACGCCGGAGTCGCTGGAGGAAAAGGAGCACCAGCTTTCCACCATGATTGGTCAGCTGATCAGTCTGAGGGAGCAGCTCCTCTCCGCCCATGACGAGCAGAAAAAGATGGCCGCCTCACAGCTGGAGAAGCAGAGACAACAGATGGAGCTGGCCAGGCAGCAGCAGGAACAGGTAGGGGGGGTCTGAGCGTGTCCTTTCCTTCATTCCTTTCAGGTAAAACTTAATTGCTGAAGAACATACATTTGCAGACAGATGATCTGACTGGTTGGACAAACTTCTAGCAAATTTATTTAACAAAAAATAAGAACTCTATAATACAAAGCAGTGCCTCCTTATGCCCGGTCTTCATAGATTGTCTATGAAGAGAGAAAAATGATGTTCTCTTTTCTTTGCATATGTGTAGAAGGCCTAAATAGGCACATTTATACAACCAAGAAAAAACATTTAAAGAAAGGCCTAATAAAGAAACACAATATTGTGAAATAGAATTAGATTTGTTTGTGTTTTCTACACTGACAGTCATCTTGTGAACCCCGTAGATTCTTCACACAACCAACATTGGTTTAGATGTAATGCTCAAACTTTGAGTGTAACTTGTACAGTATGATTTCTGACCGCTACACATTTGTCCTTTGTCTTTGTTGGACTGCCTTCTCGTTATGCTCCTATGTTTAATGTCACCATAACACAAAGGAATGACAGCCAAAGCTTCCACAATAACAGGTTGTGAAGTAAACACAAGAAGAAAATGTTTCAGTGTGTGTGCGTGGCTTCAAACGCGTGTCTTCAGGTGTCAGACCACGAAACATTAGTGTGTCACAGAAAAAAGAGACAGCCTCAGCACTGAGGCGTTTAGGTGAGCTGCTCTTTGCCGACATGTTACTGTAGGTAGACATATACGACAGGCTCTGTTTGGACAAGTCCACACCTCCCATCACAACACATTCCACCTTTCACGGCTTCACAAAGGAACGGGGAAGATGGAGAGAGTGAAGAGAAAGACAGATTCCAATATCAGCCAGTCATTTGGCTGTTGAGACTTGATAGGATAATGCCCTACAGACAAACCCTGAGAAATCTGCCTTTAATGAAATATGACATGTGTGCAAATGGGGGCGCCGCCTCCCATTCAGCAGCCTGTAATTATATTTCAGAATAAATGTACTAAATGACTTCTCAAGAAGAAAGGGAGGCAGCTGCTTCACTTTTCTGGAGCAGAGTGGGCGGGACCAACTGGTTGACGTGCTGCGCCTTTAAGGATTTTAACCTCACGGGACTGGCCGGTCCCAGCTGCCCATCACTGGCTGAGATGCAGCCCTGCAACATTTGACCTCAGATGTTTTTTACTAGACAATCTTACATCAAAATAACAGAGGGAGAAGCGGCTATGATCGCCCCTCCTGTTGTTGTTGGTTCCCGCAGTAAACATGTCAATCTCACAGATTCAGTGTCAGTTAAGAGATTTGTTCAGAAACTCGGAACTGTTGATCTTGAATGCAGCGCGACCATTAACCTGCTGCACAACACGCCAGAAGTGTTTAGTGTTGTTGAACATTATTGCCTTTATTGATATAACATGCATGGATTCACTTCTGGTCTTTCTCACTGAATATTAAAACACATTGTTTGTTTTTGACAATTTGTCACCCCCTCAAAAAATGTATTCTTACCCAGATTTGATGTTCCCATGCATCCAGAAGCAAGAAGAACTTTCTTACAGCAATAAAGAAATGTTATTCCCCACAGATCAGAACAAGCTTTATACAATTAATAAAATGGTGACAACTGGTTGAAGAACAGCACAGAGTCTGGGCTTCAGATATTTGTATCTGAATTTCATCCTACGCTGTCTGCGGCCATTAGTTCTTTGTGCAGATTTTGGAATTATTAATATAGTTAGGAAGATTTTCTCCCATTAAAAAAGAAAAAAAAAGAAACACAAGAATTTGCCAGTATTAAAAACAAAACTACTTATTCTACATCTTCTCAGAATTATGTCAGACCTTATTGTTTCATTAACATTTTCCCTTTTTCTGTGTGTGTGTGTATGTGTGTGTTCAGATCGGCAGACAACAGCAGCAGCTCCTGCAGCAGCAGCACAAGATAAACATTCTCCAACAACAGATCCAGGTTAGTGTGCAGAAACACCTCCCCAACTCTCACACACACACACACACACACACACACACACACACACACACACTTCCTCTGTTCATACCTCGCATTTTTGAGTTTACTCCTGCCCTCTGCCGACTCCCCTTGTTTCTTCCCCATCGTCTCTTCTCTGATGTGTCCATCTAATATTTTGTCTTTTGTCCTCCATCTGGATGAACTGAAGTGTCCATTTTCCTCCTGCTCCATTATTATTGGGTCACGTGTGATTGGAAAACAACAATAACATGAGAGGTTTTGACCTTTTCTTTTAAAGTTCTGCCTGCTATTGAGAGGTACGACAGTTACGCCACACCGGCCTTGCATTCCTACGGAGGCATGCAGATACACACAATAACACGCAGCGGTGACGCAATAATTGCCCTGGTTATGGCCGGATCATTTACTTTCTCATTGATCCGTCAGAAATCAATATCCCAGCATCCTCTATAGGCTTCGTCCTACTCTCTTTTTTCTCCAGTTGTCTATTTATCAACATTTATCAACTCTCCTCACCCCGACATGCACTCCTCAATCGAACGTTTATGTTCCTCTCAGCTCACGCCTCTGCATGCTGTTCCTCCTGCCTTTTGTCTCTTTTTTGCAGCTTTTAAATCCAGCCCATTAACGATGGATTGCAACAAAAATCTCGACGAGAAAAGGGGAACTTAAACAATATATATTTTATCTAGACAGACGCATGCTTATAAAGAAAGATATACTGTATATACGTATATATATATATATATATATATATATATATATATATATATATATATATATATATATATATATATATATATATATTTCTTGTTTCATTCACACTTTTTATTTATCCCTGATTCTATTTGATTCCTTTTCTTCTTCCCGCTTTCTTTCCTACATCTGTCTCATCCACCTGATGCTCATGATCCGTGTGCACTGGATGTGCTTACATACTCGCCGAGAAATTACCACCAGCTGCGAGCCAAATGTTGCTAAATTTGCGCGCTGTGGCTGATGGCCATGTGGGAAGTTAACCAGCTCGTATTTCATCCGTTTATGTTTTTTAAGTGATTGCTGTAGAATTAAATTGGCTTGTGAGACAATCTGAATCGGTTCAGTCTCGTCCCGTACTCTGTTTACCCCCCATCGGTACCGAGCTTTGGATCTCCCTGTGCTCCGGACGTGTGATCTAGTTAACGAGAGCTTGTTTCCACCTCCTCTTCTTCTTCTGCACTTTTTATTACGAGGCCCCACCCTTGGATCTTAATGAAGCTCGGATCGGACTTCATTAGGGCCTCTGAGCCCCAGGGGAGAGCGAGACCAAAAAAGCCAGCTCCTACATGGATCCTCTTCCACGCTGTGAAGCATGGATACTCTTGAGAGCAGCATTATATCATGTAGAGAGCTTCAGAAGCATCTGCTGTAAATTCAGGTGAAACATATTCCACCGTATCTTTTGTTTCACGCTCGTTTTCTACGTAGAACTCAATCTAAAACAGCCAGAATTCAATCTGCTGTTTAGTAAAGGTACAAACAAAGAAGTTGTTTTCATTGTAAAGTTGCTCAACATTATATGCTTCACAGCTGGATGCGCGTCTTGTTATTTTAAAAATAAAACGGCATTTCTTGGTGAACAAACCCAGCTTAGTATAAGGAGCATATGGTCTATCTACTGTACAGAGGTTTAGAATTATTGTGGCAAAGCTCCAGGGCTTAGTCACTGGAGTGCGGGCTGTTTACGCTGTGTTGGCTTTAAACACACAGGCAGCGCTGCACCGGTCTGTTTCCACTTATCAAATCCAGACCTGAGCTCCTCTCAGGCCAATACTCTGAGGAGCTGACCAAATGCTACTGTTTCAGCTGAAAAGAAGAGGCCTGCAGTGTGGTAAAGCCACTTTTTAGAAGTGGCGGTTGTTGTTCATATCTTAATTTGAAACACGAAAATGTTGTCCAGATGGAAAAAATAAGAAACCCCCCAAAAAAAGGAAAGGTTTTTGCTCGAAAAGGGGAACAGTTGCAACTCCCTGATGTGTTCAGCGCACACACGCCAGCTGTTGCATCATCACGGCAAATAAAGTTAACCGACCTTCAGTGATTAATTAGCATTGCTTTTATTGACTTATTATCATATATTTTGAAAGTTTTATAGATTGGCATCAAACTGAGTCTGAATGTGATTTATGAACGGAGACAGTGAAGTCCCAGTGGGCAGCTGTATTCAGCTCGTTCTTTTCCATTTGACTCATCGTTCCGTCGTTCTCTTCTGTCCGCTGATGGTGTCAGTGTGTTTGTCAGCGATTGTGGCGTGGGTGTTGTAGTGGGGGGCCGGGGTGGTGGGAGCACAGTGTATAGTTCAAAGTGAAAAGGTTTCCTGTCATGTGGTTTTAAATGGTGTGGAGAGCCAGCGGGGGATGTCCACGGGTTAAAGCAACGCTTCCGAAGGCCCCATTCTGATAGATATGGTTACACACACGTACAGGCACGCATGCACACACATGCACACACATGAACACTCAAAAACGTGAAGAAACACACCGAACAGCTGATATATATATATATATATATATACATATATATATATATACTTACACATAAACAGGCATCTGATATTAACTTAAAGTATAGACAGCTGATGTTACTGCATAAACACATACATGTGGACAGTTTATATATATATATTCCCCGAACACGCACACAAAAAAAACACACATGACACATGTGCAAAAACATTCATATAGACACCCACGCACACACACACACACACACACACACACACACACCCAGTGGTGGTGGGCCCTTTGTGTGCCGTATAGGCAGAGCGGCCCAGCCCAGCCTGGTGGCTGACAGGCATGTGTCTTTGTTAAGTCAGTTCCTATAATGGCTCTCATATGTTGCCCATTTCCTTCGGGCCCACAAAGGCACAGGCCCTAACCGCACCGCCCGGGCCCTAGCTAACGGGCTAATTAATGACTGCAAAGCCGCACTCCTCCTCCTCCTCCCTCTCTCTGTTCTTCGCTTATAACTCCTCCGTCTCCTCCTTCGCCTTTGTTTTTATACTTTTCAATTTCATCTTGTGTCATTTCCCTCTGCCGATGATGTAGTCAACAGCCTGTTCCATAAATACAGTATGCTGCCCCCTGTTGAAACACCATTAGCCCACTGTTTTTTTTTGTGACTAATTAAGGTAAAGATATGGTTTTGACCAACAGTCATGATCTGATCTTTTGAAACAGAACCAGCAGTGCGTGACCAGTTTCAAATGCAGCCATTTATAGTACAAATTTCACATTAATCTATGAGTCACGATACATGACAAACCCCTTTCTTCCTCGCTGTAAAGTCCATGTTTCATCACTGTTGGTCTGTATCAAAGGTTTGCGCAATGCGCTGATGTTGTGGTGAGCTTGTGAATAGTCTGGGTTGCTAGACCTGTGTTAAGACAAAACAGGCACAAACACAATAATCCACACACACACAAACAGTACACACACGTATAAGAACTAATGGGGCAGGCAAATGGCTGTTAGAAAGACAGCAGCACCTACGTCAGCATATACAGCTTCAGACACAATGACTCGGAAAGCCATGGAAGGCCCATAACGTCGATTGGACTCACCAGCTATGGAGAATGGCTAACCTTTGACTTTACAATGGCCCTCACACTCCAGCCTATTAACCCTTGTGTTAGCCTATAGAAAAATGCTATAAGCATACAGTAATTCTGTGTGCTTCAATTAAAATCACCTCTGGCGCTTTCATTGCGCTCATATGGGTGTAGCGAGGTGGTGAAGGAACAAACTGAGCGATGTAATTATTTGTAAGTGTATTGTGCTCTTAAAGCTGCATTAAGCAAAGTCTCACCACAAAGGGACACGACAACAAACTAAAAAACTCACCCCGGGTTTATCACAAGCTTATCAAGTTGCTATGGCTAACATGTTGTTCTTTAGCTTGTGTTTTACCCCCTGAGACTAAAAAAAGTGTCTTTAGCCAGCTGCTTTCTTCGGTAGCTACTTACTGTTTCAAGCTAAGTAGGTTAGCATGCTTGATTAGTTTATAATACAAACTGTAGGAGACAATAGCAGTTGATTAAGGATTTATTCTTGATGCTAGCAGGAACTGGATATTTGTATTCATTTAAGGAACACATGGTTTACTAACCAAAAAAACGCAGTAAAAAAGTTTAGCAGTACACGTTAATTGTAAAGCTAACAGCTTGCATCGCGGATAGTATTTGTTTACAACTTTTGGATCACTCGGGATTGTTGTGTGAACACAAACAAATCAGAGAGCAAATACATTTGTATCACATTTTTTAACTGAATCGGAATAAAGCAAACAAAATACGGAAAATGCGCTACGAAAACGTGCTAATCAGAAAGAACCGGTGAGATTTTGTCGGCATGCAAAGTACCCAAATCGTGCCTCCAGCATGCCTATTAAAAAGTGTTGCTGCCATTATAACGGTTTTGTCCTTAAAAATGTTGTAACGTCATAGAATTTATACATTATTATTCTTTTTCAGTTTTTTTTTTCATTTTATGCTGGACTGACAAATATGTTTGGCTACAGAGGGTAATAGCGCATCATCCACCTGTGTGATTTTGCAGATTGTTGCCTCAAGTGTCATTTAAGCCTACCTGCCAACTGCACAACCAGACGACCACCTTTCTTATTTTCTCCTCTTTCCTTGTCAAACACATCAACGTACAGACACACCGCATACGTACTCATTGCCCCCTAACCCCGATGGCCGTCCACAAGAGGACCATTAATTCGGGGGAGTGTGCATGCGCGTGTACACATGTTCCCTGTGACTAGGTGTGTATGTCGATGTGCCTGGTGGGCAGTTAGAGGAAGGGGGCCTTGTGTTTTCTTAGGGGCTGAGCAGAGCGGGGCCCCTGCAGCACCACCTTCCCCAGTCCATTCATCCCCCCTCGGTAAAAGAAGATCTTTGTGTGTTTGCGCTAGTGAAGCAGCCCCAGTCAGTCCCAGTGTTCCCAAAGGAATACAATGAATGGGAGCATTTTGTCCCACTCTATAACTTCCACCCCCCCTCTCCACTTCTCTCTTCTTCTTCTTCTTTTTTTTTTGCCATTCAGAAAGACAGACTCGTTTTTATTCTCTCTTCATTCCGTTTTCTCCATGTCACAAGACATCAGACAGCTTGTGTGTGTGTGTGTGTGTGTGTGTGTGTGTGTGTGTGTGTGTGTGT